TGCAGGCTCTCCCCGCTTCAGACCATCCTGAACTCAGCGGCCAGACTCATCCACCTCACCAGCCGCTCCACCTCTGCCACCCCCCTCTGCCTCTCCCTCCACTGGCTCCCCATTGCCCAACGCATTAAATTTAAATTGCTCACCCTGACCTATAAGGCCATTCACAACACTGCCCCTAACTACCTCACCGACCTGATTCCCAGGTACCACCCTACCCGTACCCTTCGCTCTTCACAAGACCTCCTATCTTGCTCCCTGGTCTCCTCCTCCCACGCACGACTGCAAGACTTCTCCAGGTCCTCCCCCATCCTCTGGAACTCACTACCCCAATCCATCAGACTGTCACCTTCCCTCCTCACCTTCAGGCGCTCCCTGAAAACCCACCTCTTCAGGGAAGCCTACCCCACCCTCACCTAACAGCCGCTGCCCTTCCCTCCTCCTACCACTCCATCCCCCACAGCCGTTTCCTCCTGTGCCTCTACCCCCTCCCTCCTAGATTGTAAGCTCGAAAGAGTAGGGCCCTCTAACCCCTCGTGTGCTGTTTGATGTTACTGTTCTGTTTCATGTATTGTCCCCCCTCTATTGTACAGCGCTGAGCAAACCCTTTGGCGCTATATAAACTCGATAAATAAATAAATCAAGTCAGCCTTGCTGTTGATTTACAGCATTCAGCAATGAGCGCAATCTGTTGCTGCTATTCGACAAATTGCAGCTTTTGAATACAATGTATTTACAGGTATTAACTTAGAGGTAGCTTGTGTTGACATGTGGGTCAGACTGATAGGCAAAGGATGAAGTGTAACCGAGTAAAATGATACTGCAGTGAACATATGTACAGGAGAGTGGCATGAAATGGATACTGGTCACTTGGGCTTATATTATTATTATACAGGATTTATATAGCGCCAACAGTCTGCGCAGTGCTTTACAATATAAGGGAGACAGTACAACTACAATACATTTCAGTACAGAAGGAATATGAGGGCCCGGTTAGTGGAGCTTACACTACAAGACTCAAGGGGTATAGTTGGCAAGGTTTGCCTTACGTTTATCAAAAACTTTTGCTTAGCACTGCCCAAACATTCACACTATTTATAAATTCTGATGTCTTTTTTGATGGGAAGACGCACAGTGCTTTCACCTGACTATAGAAGGGTAAATGTTATATAACCTACTCATTCACCAGATAAAAGTGAACAAATCATTCAGGCTAGCATGCCCATAGTCAGAGGACAGCAAGTAAGCAGCCCCCGCCACACTGATACCAGCAAAACAGGGCTACTCCATACAAAGCACCAGTGCACATGTTGTATAGGCATTAGGCTCTTTGGCACCCCAGAGGCCAGGAGAAGGTGTCAACAATAAACTCAGCTAAGTATACATATGGCGGTAGGGCGAGTTACTTCAGCTCAGGGTGGTTAGGCAGTAAGTGCCTTGTATCTAAAGGTCTACTTATCCGTTAACTTGGAGAGAGGATACAGGAGATGGTGGCAGAGCTTGAAGACAACAGCTAAATCTTTTATGATGAAGCGGGAAATGGCTTATGAATAGAATTATATATACATACCTTTCTTCAGCCTGGAAGTTCAATCTCCCTACAGCTGCATGCATGAAAAAAGAATCCAAATCCAGTTATAAATCCCTTTCTTCCCTCCCACCAAAAGAAAGAAAAAAGGTTTCTTAGTATTAGTTCTGTTAGTTCTCCAGCAGGCAGAGGATCACTAGTTGACCATGACTATCCTACACAATAGGGATACACTTACAACTCTAACCTTTGATGACCTTGAAAGTTACAGTTTATAAAATCCAGCATCTTCATTTAAAGTTCTTTTTTCGAAAAACCCGACAGCTAGGCTTTTATGACAGTATGCTGTACATACTTGCACAATATACGAGGCTAAAAACTCCTAGGGCCCAAACTGCAAATTAATATACAAACCACTGATCCACACCAGGATATCTCCTCAACTGGCTGGTCTCCCAACTCTTCATGCATGTCCTTCATCTGCCCATAAAGGTTAATGGTCATTCCAGACATATGCGCCTAACTGGTCATGAGCCAGCCTTTATTTTTTTTTTTTTAGCTAGACCATAAATATTATCCAGGATTTGCACAAACGTGTGAACAATTGGGTTGCTGCATGACACAAATGCTGCTCAGCCAGCCAAGTTAATGTAAAATTATAAGCCCACGAGGCCTGTACATTCATCTACAGTACAGGACTCTTTCAATCCTGATTGCCAGTGCACCAAACATACATGAACAGGCACCATAGGAAGCAATGTTATTTCACATCATGCAGATTGGATACAGTTTCAATTTGCATATGTGTGAACAGGCACAAAGCGTGGCAGGAAAGGCCTCAACTGGTAAAAGTGCACAAATGACGGTATAACTGCACTTTTACTCTGAGCAGACATGAATGTCATCCCCTATCTTCAGTAACACTCCCTCCTTCTCTGAGACCCAATGGCCTTTAGAACTCAGCAGCTTTTAGACAGGAATAAAGATGGGACAATAGCCAGGCTGACCTTGTGATAAGTTGAGATAGGGACTGTTCTATTCTATGGACAACCTGGTGCTCATCTCCATGTATGCGTCAAGCTCTTGCTCAGAACAAATCAGGACAGCTGGTGACAGGCCACACTCCTAAAGCGAAGGTTTGCAGAAGATAAGGTGGCGGTAGTGTAACTAAAGCCAGAGAAGGGGGCTTTTAGGTTACGGTGGGCAATAGTTTTGTTGAGGGTTTTTAATTCCTGCTGGTTAGCCAGCTGGGGTCCAAAATGTTATGGTTGTTACCAGCACTTCAGTTTACTACAGAGAACTCTCAAACATTCCACTCCAAGGGACTCCCAGCCAGGCTTTACTTCTGTGCGTCACCTCCATTTATTGGTAGAGAAAGGCCATTTGTTTCCTTTTTAAAGACATGAATGTGCACTGAGCACATCCAAAAAGAATTATGAAGTGGCCAGGGGGGACAGACAGTGAAGTTCATAGAGATGCATTGACAAGTATAAGACTTGGGGATGGTGTTGGGGGGGGGGGGGGGGGGGGGGTGTGTAATGTTAAGCGCATATTCACATTGGTGTCCTGAGAAATTGATCTATGAGGTGCAAACATAACTTTATACGTCTCAGATTAATTTCTCCTGCATTTAAGGCCTTATACACAAGGGGCAGCAGGGCACAAAATGCATACGTATATCCCCACCTGGTAGCCGCCATACAAGTCAATTACAGGATGCGGTTGTATACAGGTATACACCTACTTGTGGAAGCAAGTGCACACAGTTAAATGTACACCTCTGGGAGCACACTGTGTCTAGGGGTGTACATTTTACATGTGTGTGTGTACAGCTACATCCTGTAACTTCTATGGGTGGCTCAACACAGCAGCTGCGGCTCCCCATGAGCAAATGCACTTGAATTTCACATCATCCATCCCCCAGGCACCTGTGTCTAGGAGGTCTAAATGTGTGTGTGTAGATGTGTGCAAAGCATTTACTTTTTCCCTGGACACAGATTTCTAAGTCCTCATGCACACTGGATGTTTTTACAGCTGTTTTTGGCTTTTGATATTTTAATACTACAGCCAGTAAACTCCCCAGCATGTTACCCTATGTGTCCATGCACACAGACTGTAATCAACGTTTTTTTGGCAGGGACGTTTTTTTGACTGGAACTCTATAAAAATACGAAATGTCCAAAATGATACACCTCTTGGGCTACCTAGACTCAGATAAAAGAATATAACGATGGAAGATCAGAGCAAATAAAACACGTCTTCCAGACACATGGAAAGGTCACAGAGCCCATCTATAGTTCTGATTGGCTGGCAGGTATCTGCACTCTCACGTGTTCAGTCCAGGGATAAGGAAATCTAAAACAGAATAAAATGAAATATCTTGTGTGGAAAGGCAGCACACCTACAGACTGGCGGTAAGTGCCCCCCCCTAGAGGAGGCCAGAGGGATGAAGAGACTCACCCAGGGGTACAAATACCCCCTCAATGAAGTAGAGGTACACGTGTCACGTAGAACAATGGACACCCCCACAAGGGGGACAATGGATACAAATAACTCCCCTCTGCCACCTCACTTACCATAGCGAACGATTCTCCTGCCTTCCCTCACTGCCAATGCTGGACTAAGAGCTCCTCCGGCTCCCCCACGTGAATACAGAACGCCCAGCACGCATGCGCGACCTATGGAGGGCGTGTCCTAGCTTCAATGTCACCCAGAACGTTCTAAATTATCACTTGTATAACAGAACGTGCACGGCGCTTACAGTGCCTAAAAAAACGGGGAGCGAGGTTAGTGAAGAAAAAGCAGCGAAGAAGAAATCCGAGCAGCCATCACAATAGCATCCGGGTTGAAGGTTTCTGTACCTCCGACCTTGAAAAAAGTAAGGCAGTTCCAGAAACTTCTGGAACACAGGCCCCGAAATCTGCATGCGGCATAGCCAGGAGGGGAAGTAGCGCTGTGAGGAAGTGGCCGGGGTAGTGCAGGGAATAGGGAGGCGCCTATACATGTTCCGGGGCTAGGCGCTGTTCTAGCCTGACCGACACACGTGACTGGAGGAGATTTCAGAGTGTTACAGCCTGCTGGCTCATTCAGTGTGAGACACGTGTGTGTGTGTGTGAGGGAGAGTACCGGCACCGCTCTGCTCTACGGGACTACACAGGTAATAGCGGCGGGGACAGGACCCTCCGGGGACGCAGCACTTTGTTCCTGGCTGCCAGCAGACGGCTTCTCGTTCATTTATTTGGTGGTAGACTAGTTCCTGTGCCTTGTGCGGTGTCCGTCGTGTCATTCTCCATAACTGACACCTTATGTGTCTGACTAGCAATGAGGCCCTTGTCATGTAGGTGACCTCGGAGTGCCTGCTGTGTTTACATGTAGACCTGTGTGACACTTCTCCCCTAGATCTAGTGTTCTAGTGTGCATTCATGGCTTACACCTCTTGTCATGCATGTGTTTGTCACTTGTTGTTTTACTAGACATCTTCAGAATGCTACGTTTGGCCACCATACTTCGCCAAGTGCGCCCAGTGTCTCGCACCCTGGTGCCTCGTCTGAGCCGAGCCTATGCTAAAGATGTGAAGTTTGGAGCAGAAGCCAGAGCACTTATGTTGCAAGGTGTTGACCTTCTAACAGATGCGGTTGAAGTCACCATGGGGCCAAAGGTATGTGCGTGTCCTCACATGATGTCTATGTGCCTTTGCTTAGTACCCACAGCTTACAGTACAAGTTAAAGTCCAATGCAGGCCATACATGGCTCAAATTCCAAACCCATTTTCTTTAGAAAAATCTGAATTTTAGTGCGTTTTGTAATCTGATGGTGCCACCATTGATTTCGAAATTCGACCAAACCAAGCCTTTAATTTCACCTCATGTTGCTACAGAAAAGAATTTTTATGGCCAAGAATTGGCTTTTCTTTCCAGGTCACGGCTCATTTCTTTTCCAGTTCCATTTCTTGCTCGATTCTTCCATCATTTATTAGAAATTCCTTAATTTTTAAAAAAAATTTCTAATGTGCCCGATCACTCAAATTCAATGGTCGCTAGAAAATTGGCCATTGCTGTGGCCCATTATTGGTGCGAAATTTGAACGAAAAGTCTCTGAAAAATTATTTCAGAATTCAACCCATGTATGGCCAGCTTAAGGCTGGCCATACATTATACAATTTTCTGTACAATTTCCTTTGAATTTACCCTCAGCTATGTAGTGCAAGGGCCTGCCTAATTGGATACAACTGAAATTGTTGTATAGGTTTGACCTCATACTATATGCTTTTTAGTAAATCTACAAGAAAATTGTATAATGTATGGCCAGCCTTAGTTTAGTTAAAAAAAAAAAAAAAAAAAAAGCACAAGAGACATTACATCTCTTAAACAAGATGTGTCCCTTGTGCTGCTGAATCCTTGTTTATCAGAAATCTTCCTACTCTGATGACCTTCTGGTGCAGCAGGGGTTAAAGCGGTATTAAACCCAAAATCAAACATTTATTATATTGCAGCTTACCAATGCTCAGATGTAATGGCTGTATTTTCTTTCTTTTAATTTCAACTGGTGATCCCGGCAATAAGTCTCTTTTCGCAAAGTGCTGTTCAAAAGTACAAGCTATCCTGCAAATCTATTAACCGCCTCCCACCCACCATATAAGGAAATGATGGCCGCAAGGCGGTTCTTTTGTTTTGGGAGGACATCGTATGACATCCTCCCACTCTAACCGCACGTGCACGCCCCCAGGGGCACGCAGCAATCGTTTGCGCGCTGTGTCCCTGGGACACAGTGGATCACCGATCAACAGAAAGAGCCGATGACGTTGGCTCTGTCATGTGATCAGCTGTGTCCAATCACAGGTGATTGCATGTAAATAAGGAAATGCCGGTTATCGGCATTCCTCTCCTCACGAGCTGTCATGCTCAGAGGGGACATGTACACTGATCATCAGGGCACTGATGATCAGTGTTCCCTGGTGATCAGTGTAGCCCCATCAATGCCATCTTCCAGTGCCCATCAGTGATGTCTGTCAATGCTCATCAGTGCCACCTACCAGGGCCTCCTCATCAGTGCAGCCTATAAATGACCATTACTGCAGCCTCATTAGCGCACATCAGTGAAGGAGAAAAATCACTTATTTACCAAAGTTTATAATAGAAACTTTGAAAAAACTTTTTTCAAAATTTTCAGTTTTTGCTTTATTTAGCAAAAAATAAAAACCCCAAAAGTGATCAATTACCACCAAAAGACAGCTCTATCTGTCTAAAAAAAAAAAAAAAAAATGATCAAAATTTCATATAGGTACAGTGTTGCATGACCGCGCAATTGTCATTCAAAGTGCGACAGCGCTGTAAGCTGAAAATTGGCCTGGGCAGGAAGGGGGTATAAGTGCCCTGTAGGCAAGTGGTTAAAGTGCGGAGACAAATCCTTTACCACTGACAGGAGTGTTTAGAATCCGGTTTTTATCTGTGTAAAACCTTTATCTCAAAAGAAAACCAACTGTTGCTGTAACTACGGTGTGAGCTGGAGTTCAGCTTTAGGCTGCATGCACACTAAGCTAAAAAAAGAATGGCAGAAAAATGCTAGATGAAAAACTCTCAGTGTTTTTGTGCCAGCTTTTAGCAGCAGTTAGTGGCATTAACCGTTTTTTTTTTTTTTTTTTTTTTTCTTCTGGCAAATCGCTCCAATAAACCTAAACCCCTCCCTCAAAAACGAAAGCTTCAATAATGCTTCCAGACTAAAAATTGTGCATGGACACATAGGATAACAATATTTGCTTCTAGAAGCAGAAAAATCATGCTGAAAAATCTGCTGCTAGGAGCGTTTTTAAAGCTAGTTTGCATGGAGCCTCAATTTGTTAGTGTGTATCTAAGTCAGCTGCTACATCTAACACTGCCCGTCCCCCATACTGACAATGCTGCTGACCAGAGGTGCCCCTGTGCTATTTCATCAAGAGTGGGGGCACTTTAATACAGGAGGTGTTACTGACCAGATCACCAGGTGAGAACGGGGGAAAAAAACCTAAAGAAGAAAACTAATAAAGCCACCAAATTGTGGATTAATAAACTAGAATATATTTACATTTCTGGTGTGGGGGTTTTAATATCGCTTGATAGCACTAAGAGCCCTGTCACAGGAAATCATCAAGCACCTGTATATGCAAATGCCGGCATTTAGCATCTACACGTACAGCACATTTTGTAATTCGGTCCTATGGGCAGAACCTTGCAGTAGCTATGACTTCCAGGCACCATTAACAGTAATATTTTATGCTGTATGCCGGTAAGCCTGCAAACTCATCATTGTGCACCAAAATATAAACTGAATTATGTGGATAAATATTTTGGATTAAAACCTAAATTTAGTGTAAAATATAATAAAGAATAAGCATAAGGGACTTCATTTACCTTCAGCAAGATGTGTCCCTTTTCCCGCTGTATCCTCATTTAGCAGAAATCTTCCTCCAATATACCCACCAAATCCTGCAATCTTCCAGTGCAGCGGGGGGTTAATAGAACTAAGACCTGACAAAGGCAATCATCAAGCGTGCCCAACTATGCCCACACTTTCCACCCAGTTCCTCCATTCAGAGAAGTCATACTACAGCTTCCATGAATGCAATGTGATCTATGAATGCAGGATGGACAGATGGCATGACTGAAACAGCCTAACTGGAGATTCTCTCAAGTCAAAATCTTCCAGGATGGCACACCTGAAAATAGGGTTCTGTGGTCCTGAAGATTCCCAGAAATATCAGAAAATCTAACTGGGGATTTTTCTAAACTTAGGCTTTCATTCTAAATGTTTATCAACGTAATTCACATTATATTGAGGTGCATCGCCATGACAATGAGCTTGCACGCATATAGACATCGTAAAATATTCCTGTGTTTGTGGTGCCTGGAAGTCACAGCTACTGCATGGTTCTGCCCATAAGAACAAATTACAAAATGTGCTATAAGTGTATAAATGCTGGTACTTGCATAAGAGTGTATTTTCCAACGTGACATTTGGGAAAATATACCTTTTGCACATGCGCCTGAAAATACAAGAACCAGTGTTTACACCTGTATAGCCATTACATATGTCCAGTGCATTTTGTGATTCATTCCTATGGGCACATTTACGTAGCAACTGGAGCTTCGGGGTTTCCACAAGTACAGGTCCAAGTTTTTTTTTTTTTTTTTTTTTTTTCTTTTCCTCCTGTATGACTGTAAATATGTCCTGATGAATGAGCTTTAAATGTTATAACTGATTCACAGACATTGCATAGCTCTGTGAAATTGTGCTTCACCCTTTGCTATGAGAGGACATCAGGGGTGTTCCTAGGGTTGGTGACACCCCCTCCGACAATGCCCCACAGAATGAATCGGATCTGCGGATTGAGCATAATGGATCGGATCCATCCTGCGGGGATCGTTGGCTTGCTTTACAACTTACCTTTCTGTGAAGTGGGTCCGGTTTCACCCCGTGCGGTAGGTGTCACCCGGTGCGGCGCGCCCCCCCCCCCCGCACCTGCCACTGGAGGACATGTCGTAACATTAGGTAGTACAGAAGATAAAATCTATAGGCTGGTCTTGCATACAGGCCAGAACACAGCCAACTAGCAGTCTGCACATTCCAAGGTAACAACCATGTTCCTAAAGGGAAAAAGATTCTGTGAACGTTGTAACCCTTGAACAGGAAGCCCCTTAGTGTGTGTGTGTGTGTGTGTGTGTGTGTGTGTAAACCCTCAGTGCAAAGTATTTGGGGTGAAGGGGTTACCTTAAAATTTTCAAGCTTTTAGTTCTGTGCACTCATGTATTCCAGTGACAATAATAATTCAAATGTAATCAAGTGCAGCAAATCTATTCAATGAAACTAGTCCCATCTGCAGAACATCTTAATGTGAATCCCTTCATGGTGAAAAAGACACTCGTCAGATAATAAACCTCTGTAAACCAAGGTTTAATTACTTTTCTAAAACCAATAGCCCAAATCTCTACCACAAGTAGCTCCACAACTGGCAGTTAAGCACTCTAATCCTGGGATGACATTGCCTGATTCCACTCCATACAAAGATACTCAATTCACGGAATTGTTGAGGAATATGCTGTCCATCATATAAACATAAGGATAGTTTTGCAGTATTTATTAAAATTTATATAAAAATTTATATAAAACCAAGTACTAAAAATGATATACAGGTGAAACTCGAAAAATTAGAATATCGTGCAAAAGTTCTTTTATTTCAGTAATGCAACTTAAAAGGTGAAACTAATATGAGATAGACTCATTACATGCAAAGCAAGATAGTTCAAGCCGTGATTTGTCATAATTTTGAATATGGCTTACAGCTCATGAAAACCCCAAATCCACAATCTCAGAAAATTAGAATATTACATGCAATCAATAAAACAAGGATTGTACATAGAACAATATCGGACCTCTGAAAAGTATAAGCATGCATATGTACTCAGTACTTGGTTTGGGCCCCTTTTGCAGCAATTACTGCCTCAATGCGGCGTGGCATGGAAGCTATCAGCCTGTGGCACTGCAAGGTGTTATGGAATACCAGGATGCTTCAATAGCGGCCTTCAGCTCTTCTGCATTTTTCGGTCTCGTGTCTCATCTTTCTCTTAGCAATGCCCCATAGATTCTCTATGGGGTTCAGGTCAGGCGAGTTTGCTGGCCAATCAA